AGGGGCTGCCCAGGGAGGTGGTGAAGTCCCCACCTCTGGAAGTGTCCAAGGAAGGACTCGGTGCTCTGGAATGGGGGACAAAGTGGGGATCAGGCACAAGGTGGAGCCGATGATTTTGGAGGTGCTTTCCAACCTCAGTGATTCTGTGATCCTGTTTTATGATTCCCACTACACTGATTCACTTCTGAACCTCTCTTTTAGGACTGAATTTTATCTGAGTTTCTTGTTCCAGCAGGTGCTCACAGTCTCACTGTCACCTGCTCTTGCTTTTCCCCTACCTCCTCTCACTGCCATCCTCCTCTCCTGTTCTTTTGCACAGACAGGCTTGACCTGGAAATATGCCACTTTTCCAGAATTTACCTGTCCATCTCTATTGAGGAAATCTTGAAAGTAGCTAAACAGCTTCTGTGTCAGCACTGGCACTAAAACCCTCTTGGAGTACCTTAAAGATGTGCCCACAATTTTCCAAAGCAGAGAAAAATTTGGCCAAATGAGCACCAATCCTCGCCTAAACATGTGCTACTTCGGTTTCAGGCATCCAGAGCATCTATTTCATTTATCACAGCATAAATCTATTTGGAATTCTGTCTCTGGCCACTTCTCAATGAGTTTTTCAAGTCTTCCTTTAAGTACCAGTGGTCACAGGCTACCCTTTTAAAAAGCTCAGTCTAAACCTTCTTATCAAACTCCTGAAAGTCTTTCCAATGCTGTTTTCATAGAGGGCAGAAAAATTTGGAATTCTTGCAGTGGGTAGTGGGGAATTTAACTAACCAACTAATTTAAGTAATCCCAGAAACTCCACACAACTTCCCAAAGATACTGAGAGGAGACAAAAGTTCAAAAGCAAAACAAGGGCAAGATGACAGAAAGGAGACACTACAGTCACACTCTGAGGGATACTTAAGCTCTAATTAAAAGTAGTGTTAAAAATGCACTAGTCATTAGCAAACAAGGTCACAGGCCCTGCTGCCCAAAGTGTGGTCAGTAAAAATCAGCAACAGGGACCTCTACAAAGCCCTTTGATGTGGCCATTGCTGACGACTCTTATTTCTTTTTTACAGGCATTTTTTCTGAATCCAGCCCCTCCACCGAGGTGGGATCCTCAGAGGGGGTTCAACAAATGCCTTTTGCACTAATTTTAAACAGTATTTTTCACCAAAAATTGACTCCATGGAAGCCCTTTGCATTTAACCACTGGAATGGAAGGTTCAAACCCCTCACACCCTTTGCTGGATGAGCCCTGAGTTTCAAGCAGCATCACTAAAAGAAGTAGGTGAAGAGATGAGGCAAAAAAAGTACATTTGTAGCCAAGATAAATGTGATACACAGCAAGCTCTGAAAGCAGGAGAGAGCCCAGCCAGGTATGATAAATGGCTGAGTGTATTTTTATAGACCAATTTAGGCATTTTTTTTGTCATTATATTTTTTGTTCTGTGAGTTTTTTTCATGCTCTCAACAGAGTAAAACCTTCCATGAAAGGTTTCACACCTATTTTTGTAGGGACAGAGATCTTACAGCAACTTTTCTATTTCCAAAAGCAATAATCCAATATTCTTGATATCCATACTCCTACTGATGGGAAGCTTTTACTGTGAATCATTGGCCACCATGTGCCATTCAGGTGTTAAAATTGCCTATATAACCAAACATCCTTCTCCAGAAAATCTTTATAAGTTTTATACTTAAACATTGTGAGCCATAATGGGCACTTTTCCCTTCTGTAGGAAAAAGAACTATTCTATTTTCTCCACTTATCACCATCCCACTGATCTTCACAGTTCCTTTGTCTACTTTGCACTATGCTCACTAATTTGTTTTTAATCAACTACTAACCAAATCAGAGAGGGAAATTGTTGTGAAAATTTGATGAAAATGCTGGTTTAGTATCTCTTTGCAGGTAAAAGAATGTGTTTGCTGTTTTAAAGGACTAAGTACAAAACTTCTCCTGCAGTTCCTTTAATAAATCTCCCTGCAGATCTGCCAGGGCAGAGTGGAGCGTTCACCTAATGCCAGTTAAGCCTTTATTTAAAATTCAGGGTAAGTGAATAAGTGCTGGGCTCTGTAAAATCAGTCAAATCCCAGCTGTTCATGTGAAATGATGGCTGAGATGAGCAGAGGCAGCTCAGCTGGGCAGAGCCTTCCCAACCTTCCCAACCTTCCCAGCTTTCCCAGCCAGCTGGGCACACACAGGTCAGCCCAAGTTAGAACTTCACCAGCTATTTCTGGGAACGTGCCAGGAAGAAAATGGACCTGGCTCCTGCAAAACTAATGAGTTGAGGTGTTCAGGCTTTTGTTCAGATCACTGAGCCCTCCAGGGACCTTAATTACACGGGGAGAGCTTCGGGATCAGTTACTGAGATTTCAGTTCACATTTTTATATCAAGCTCAGGCTGTAAATAGTTCATAGATAGCGAGTGACTTCCCTCAGATGGGGCACATCAAACCATCTTAAGTGTCATTTAAAGTGAGGAACCAAAATGCCAATCTCCTTCTCCCAGCCCTGTGTTCAGCCCATGCAGTGCAAACCTGCAGAATTCCAAAGCAGGAGTTTGTTTGCAGCCAAAGCTCTTTTCTTGGGCCCTGAAAATGCATCCCTGTCTTTTTTTTTTTTTTTTCTTATTCTGTATTTCCAGACTTAAAACCTGCTGCCCTACTTATCTTTGTGTGTTTGCTGCAATAATCCTTCTGTCTCCAGCCTCACAGCACTATCAGGAGGAGCCAGAGAGTCTGAGTTGCTTCTTCCACTCCTCCCAGCAAAGGCCAGGATGGCTTTGGATAAGTATAACCAGACAAGTAACACTAATTTAATCAGTTCCTGATGGGTGTCGTGTCGTGACATCATTAAAAACTGGAAACTGGATGTAAAATGCGATCAAATCAGAATTCTAATAATTTAACTCTGACTGTCCAAAAGTCGTTTTGCAAGGCACTCAACCGTGGCCGTGTATTTTCAAATGTCACTGAGACAGGCTGTCCTGTCTGGGTTTGGTTTTGCCCTCACCTTTGGGAAGAATGTTTTTGGTAGTTTATTAGAGGAGACAGTCAGTGCTTTCGTGGCAGCAGCTCACAAGAAAACGCTGACTGCACTCGCTTTTCTGCATCCCTGCACATCTCCCCTGACATGGCTGGGTGCAAAGAGAGGGGGGACTGGCTCCGGGGAATAAATGCAAATCCCTAGGGGACAGCTCTGATCAAACCAACCATTTGAATATTTGCTCCTTCCCTCCTTGTCTTCCCAAATCAAATCTTCCTTAAAGTTTTGGAAGATCTGGACAAACTAGTGGTTTTTTAAGCTATTTGGCCAAAACGCAACTGTGGATGAGAGACAACGCTGTGGGAAAGCAACTCTGAGCTTGGAGGACGTTGGGGACACTGGCAATGCTTGAGATATAAGTTCAGATACACTTTGGAACACTGACAGGGCAGCAGAGAAGGAGGTGGGACAGGCTCAGACTGACCAGACTCAGTCTGGATCAAGGGAACAGCCTACAAGTTCATTAAAAGCAGGGGTAAAGATAATTGGTGTTTGAATATTTGAACTGAGCACTAGAGACAGGCAAATATTTGGTTCAAATCAAGCAAACTTTAGCTAAAGCAACAGAGAAGGTGGGAAAAGGGGCCCAGGTTTGGTGTAGAAAGAATCAAGATCGAAGTTTCACTGAGGCAGAGAGGAAAAAACCCAACACTTTTTCCTCAGATGACTCCTTCCTTAAAGCAGCTGCTTTACAGTCAAGAATATTTAGGGCAACCTAGATGAGTGTATTAAAAAAATGCTACCCAAGGTCATGAGCATGGGGAGAACCTGAATAACTGACTGCAGACTCTGAGCATGCAGTGACAGGACACTGGGGGATGGCATCAAACTGCCAGAGGGGAGGTTTAGATGGGATACTGGGAAAAAATCCTTCCCTGGAAGGGTGGGCAGGCCCTGGCACAGGTTGCCCAGAGAAGCTGTGGCTGCTTCATCCCTGGAAGTGTCCAAGGCCAGGTTGGACGGGGCTTGGAGCAACCTGGGCTGGTGGAAGGTGTCCCCTCTGTGGCCCTGCTGAGGTTTCTCTGCTCCCAGGGGGAGCTGCCCTCGGGCACCGCTCCGTGGCAGGACTTCATTCCCTGGTGCTTGTTGGGAGACATGAACTGTGAGATGATCTCCTGCTAAAGCTGGATTAAGAGAGGCTTTGGGGTCTGGTGGGACATGTGGAGCAAGATTCTGGATTCCCCAGATACGCCAGTCTTAATACTTTTATTTTTCCCCCTACGCTTTTCTAAAAATTACTGGCTAAAATACCGGTTCTATATCCTGCATTTGGGGGCATTCCAGAGCCATTTCAATTTATTTCTAATTTTGGAAGCAGTGCTGTCGTAATGAAAAGAGCCAAAATCTAGCTACTGAAGAGTTTCAAACACAGAGTATCACAGCAAGGATGAGCCTGTGCAGGGCCAGGAGCTGGACTCGATGATCCTTGCGAGTCCCTTCCAACTCGGCATATTCTGGGATTCTGTGAAAATACTTCCAGGAAAGGGCTGACAATCACTGATGCATAAAATGGGAATTTAACTCTTTTGTAGCAGCTTTATAGCTGATCAGTAAAATGAGAGAAAAATCGCTTTTCCTAAGGAGCTGGCACAGGATATGTAGCAGCTCAAAGGGCTTACTGTAGAAAATATATTTACCCGAGAGAAAATGAAGTCTGGAAGAGAACCAGCTCTGGGCTGAATGGATTTGAAAAGGCTCTTTCACTCCCTAACTCTAGTCCATAAATCAAAAATTATTAGGGCTTCAATTTGAAAAAAAAAAAATTTTGTTTCTTAACTGGGAGGAGGACCTGCCGCTGAAAAGAAGCCACCACCCATTTAACGGGCAGCAAGCGATCCCAGCCCGAGCGAACTGCAGCGTGGGGCACTGCAGGCAGCAACACGCAGCCAGCCTGCCCGGGAACCCTCTGCCCTCCCACGCACACGCAGGAGACACACGGACTGCGCTGAAAGCCGCCCAGCTTTACCTTTCTGCAGCTTGGACGCATTGTCCTGTATCCAGCTGAAAAGGTTGGCAAAGTCACAGTCACACACCCAGGGGTTGCCCTCCAGGCGAATAGTCCGCAGGGAGGGCAGCGCTTCCAGGGCTGCCACGTTGAGGCTCTGTAAGTTATTGTCATTCAGCTCTAACACTTGGAGCTGCTCCAGGTTCTCAAAAGCAGCCTCGTCCACGTCCACCAGGTTGTTGTTGCCGAGGCTCAGCTTTATCAGCTTCTCTGCCGATTTGAACGTCCCGGCGTCGAGCTGTGTTAAATTATTGTAGCTTAAGTCTAAATACACCAGTTTGGTGGAGCTGCTGAAAGTGCCCTCCTCTAAAGAGGTGAGGGAGTTATTCCTGAAGTCCAAATAGACCAGATCTCCATAAAATATAAAGAAATCGGCTGGTATCGCCTGGATGTTGTTATCAGCTATAAGAAGTTTCCTTACATCCAACGGGAAGGGATTAGGAACACTTGGGAGTCCTTGATCCCGGCAATCTATGGTGTGGTAGTCCATGCAGCTACAGGCAGCAGGGCAGAGATGACCCCCGGGCAGGAAAAGCAGGCAGGCAAAGGCAGCAAAAGGCAGGAGGCAGGAAGGGAAGCATGGCAACATCGTCAAGGATCTGAGCGCTGGGATGAGCAACCACTTCTAGGAGAAAGACATTTTGCTCAGCTGAGCAGGAGTGCCTGGTACTTGTGTGTGTGTGTGTGTGATTGTATCCAGGAGATCACATATCATCACAGATCCGATAGCAGCAGGCTGGGAGGGGGAGGGAGAGTGGCTGGAGGAGAGAGGGAGGGAGGCAAATGTGAGGATTTACACTGTCAGAATATTATGATGCCGTGCAGGGTGAGGAAAGCGATGATTGGGTACACGGAGGAGCTTTCAAAGGACTCCCTTGCTTTTGTGAGCTAAAAAAAGCCCGGAGCCTGTTTGCACATTTGCTGTATATTCCAGCAAACTGGAAATCACACCTGATCCTGTGACTCTGACAGCAACAGCTTATGCTCAAAAAGCCCTTCAGGTTAAAAACTCCGATGAGATCACTTACTGTGCTTCTTAGCAGGAGCCTGCACCAAGGTGACCAATTCCTGTGGAAATCCAAACAAAAGTCGGGCAGCATCCTGGATGCCTGCAAAGGACTGTTCTCCCTTTCATTTGTAAAACAGGGAGCAGAGGAGCAGCAAGGGCGGGGGAGCCCAAAGACAGGGAACGCTGGCTTTGTGTTGTTTCTGGATGCCTTCTCAGCCTCTCAGAGCAATTCACATTATCTAAATATGACTCAGTGTCTTTTAAGCAAGAAGAATAACTGACTGCAGCTACACAAGGAATATGGGGCTTTTTCCTTCCTGTTTTAATGACCCCCAAAAGCTACTTTCTACCACAGCCCCAGTAATGTCTGTTGGACCACATAAAAGTGCAAATCGTGGATCAAATCTTCAGCTGGTTAAAAACTGAACAGATTTCCTTCATTTTCAGGGGGCTGAAATATTTGACAGTCAATCTGTCCGTCTCCCATGGGACAGCAGAGATGATTTGGCAACAAGGCATCTGTGTTTTCCTGACATCCCCCAAAACCCACACCCACAAAGGCAGGTCCTCAGCCAGCTACACACTTAATTTTTAACTCCATCCCTCCCTCCTTATGCTCGGTGTGTAAGCAGACAAACGGGACTGGAGTGCTGGGGTCACACCTGTGGATGATTTTTCTGGGGACAGCTGGTATTTGGGGGGGTGTCCTGAGGAACAGGGCACAAACTCTTTGGAAAGCTCATTCTTAGGCCAAAGAGAGGCCAGTAATCACGATTTCAGGGCAGATTTCATAATTGAATTCAGAGTACCTTTCATCCAGGACAGGGTAGGAAAATTTCCTTTTAAGACAGGCTGTTCTCCAAGATACCTGTACCTGGTCCCAAATAATGCAAGCAGTATCAGCCACCTCTCCTTCAGTATGCTCAGAGAAACACTGACCTGCTGGGAGGGAATGGAGAGGGAGCCAGGCTGTTCTCAAAGCACCACTGACAGAAAAAGAGGAGATGGGCACAGATTAAAACCCACCTGAACACGAGGAAACATTTCTGTTACTCTGAGGGTGGTCAGAGAGGTTGAATATCCCCACAAAACCCGGGTGGGGACAGCACTGGGTGAACTTGCTCTGACTCTGCTTGAGCAGGGGACAGGATGAGCTGATTCCAGAGGTCCCTTCCAACCTCAGCACTTCTCTGCTCTGCTGTCAGGAAATGAGGATGCCAGGAAGGTTTACACCTTTGAACACCAGTCCCACATTTTGCAGCACACTTCGTTTCGAACTCAGAGGTCTTTTGGGTAAAGCACCTTGAAGCAGCCTCTGCATCCCTCCCATGAAGACATATTCTGCTCCAAGTGTCTGAAATTACTCCTAAAACACCACCCAGAGAGACATGGGCATAGCTGCCTCCATAAATCACCAGGGCAAAGCCCAAATAAATTCCTGAGATGATTATTTAAAATATTTACCTTTAAATTACAGAGGAAGTGGAAGTTTGACAGGCTACCTCCTAATGAAAATACCCAAACATGCAAAATCAGTCCTGTGGTCAGGATTCAGTGAATCAGCATCAACAAGCAACTGCAACTGATATTTCTCATGCAAAACTGATGCTTTCAACAACCATTGCTCCTGCTGTAACCTACTGGTTTTCTGCCCCTAATTCAACTAAGGCTTTAGGTTAGAGAGAAAAGTGTTTTTAACACGGTAAAACAGAGCTGATTTGATGTCCTTAGCAATGTAATTTTATCTGGAGAGTTCCAGCTCTCTTTTAAGAGAAGTTATCTGTGCACAGGACTGAAGGGTCCCTGTGGCTCCTCCTCTGCAGATCCCCCCCCTTTTTGTATCAAATGTACAGAACCAGGCAGTGACATTTCCATCTCCAAGATGCCTCAGTGTTATTATGCAGCTTCACAGATGGGAGACACAGACAATAAGGCACAATTTGTGAAAGATCCAAGAACATGTTAGTGGCAGGGCTAGGAAGAGGATTCAGCTTCCCTAAGAATTCCACCAGCCCTTGCTAAAACGACCACTCCTTTCTGCCAGGAACCTTTTGCTCAGCTGCTCCCCTGGATTCTTTACCTGCTTCCCCCTGTAAGCAACACCACCTGCACGCTCAGATCTGCAGATTCTGCACACAATCCGTGGAGCTTCCCTGTCTGTGAAGGGCTTGGCAGGAGATGAGGGATCGCTCCCAGGCTCTGGATATTTTGGGACAGGTATCCTGGAGGTCTGTCAAGCCCCAGCCCTGCTCTCACAGCATCCAGGCAAAGAAGATTTCACTGCCAAGGTGTGACAGCTCAGATCTGCTGCTCAAACCCAGCTGCAGTGCCTGCCATGGTCTGACACCCTTCTCTGCTGACTTCCATTTCAAAGCCTTTCCTCCTGACCCATCTTTCTCTGCACAACGTTTCCTGGGTCATTTGGTCTGTGCAGCTTTTTTTTGGGGCTTATTTCTGTCCCTCAGCTGTTTCCCTCACGGCACAGAAATTCTCCTGACTCTTTCTGAAGCTTCGCTCACTTGCCACCCATTCCGTGCAGTTTTGGCTAGCAGGGAGGAGGCTCTTTTTATCTAAGATGATATTAAAGCTTTACTTTTTAAACCCTCGTTTGCATCAGGCAGTGATGCTGCTAAAATCGGGGGGTGTGGCCTGTGTTCTGCTGAGTGCACAGCACCCTCTGGTGCCCTCAGACTGGTCACCCACAACTGCTCTGGTCCCTTCTGGTGAACTCTTAGCGTGTTTTACACACTCCTACAGTTTAGCTGCGCTCTCAGGTTCCCTTTTCCCTCTTCCCATTAAAGAAAATGAAAGATATAATCCAGATAGTGTTCTTCTTATGTGCTTCAACTGGCACTGTGGTAAAACATCAAATTGCTCCAGTGAGTGGCCTCAGAAATGGAGGTTTGTTTATAATCTGTGCTTCTTCAGTGCTCCCAAGCAAAGCCCCACAGCTTTATCACCTGTTAGCCCAAAATACTTCCAGCAGTAAATTTTAGTACACACAGGCTTGTAAAAGCACAAACTTCTCGATTAGAAGTTGATGCCAAACAAAAACCCCCCCCCAAATTTTCTTCTCTCCATAGAGCTGGGATCCCACACTGATCAAATTTTGATTTCCAGCCCATTTATCTCTGATCCTGCCTTACAGGCTCCCCTAAAGGGACCGGCTGGGTTTGAAAAACATCCTTGGTAACAATTCCATAATCAAAGAACTACGGAGAAGGAGAGCAAGGAAGGTAAAAAACCAATTTCTCTCCATAGCTCCCAGCAGCAGGAGTTGAATAAACACAACAGAAGGCAGGCTTTGGACTTAAAACAGTGATCTGGCTTTACATTCTTTTAATTTTCTGTTCAGGATACTACTGAGAGAAACCTTGAAAATAAAAGCAAGCCACAAACCACACTGGTCCTGCATCTTTGGTGTACTATCTGTGCTATATCATGCCAAGCAGTGGGAAAAGAAGAGGAAAAACATTCACTTCTGACAGAGTTTTCACGTTTCCCATGGAAAATTCCACCACTCTGCATAAAAGTGTTCAAAACTTCCCCAAATAACTTGAGTAATGGAAGAAAAAAAAAGAAAGAGCGATGATTGTGCAGACACACGTGAAGGATTGGGACCTCAGCCAGGAAATCCTTCCTTACAAGAGACTCAGACTGAAAACTGTCCGTCCTCATTCCCTTTTTTTTTTTTTTTTTAGCAGCTAATTGAGCATATTTTTCCATGAAGGAAGTCATTATTCCAGGCTTATGCTTCGCTGAGTTGAGGCACGCAGTCGCTGCAGCACCAGGTGCACCGAAGGACTGCGAAGGGTTTTCCTGCTCGTTATCAGACATTAACGATGCGTCCTGGGCACCAATGTTGGAGCCTGGGCGAGTGACGGGGTGTTAATCGATCCATCAAGCACTGAAACCCAGAGCTAAACCAGCACCAGTCCCAGTTTTATTCAGGTCTTTGCCATTTTGGCTTTAACTTTTTTTTTTTTTTTTCTTTTTTTGAGAAAGATCCTGCCCTGCTCTGCCCAGGCAGTTTTTAGGAATCCAGCCAAGGGGCTCCTCTGGGCAGTTTTCCCTCTGATATTACACCTAAAAAAGGACTGAAAAACTGAAAGGGGAAAACGGCCTATTCCTGTCTTAGAATTTATGAGCTGATAGAAGCTGTGAGCTGGAGCTTGTCTTACACCTGCTCAGTCCTTCTCTGCTGCTGCTCTGCCACTGGGAGGGAAAATGCATCAAAATTAATCAGCGTGGCAGCAGCAGTGATTGAATCTGAAAACTTCAGACAGTGCAGTTCAGCAGCCAAATGAGACCAGCCTAAACCCATCAAAAGGCTTCCATCATCTGGCTCACTCAGACATGTGGTCACTACCTTATTGCAAACCCTTTTCAGTCACTAAAAGCAGCCACGAGAGACGACCAGTGTGAGTTTTATTTCCCTTTTCCCCTCAGGAAGGAGTTTGTGCCCAGGGTAGTCTGCTTGCCCTCTACACAGTTGATGGGCTGGTCCAGAATCACCACATTTGCTTTAAAGCAAATTAAAGGCAATTAACTTAAAAGCCCTCCTGAGCTGCTGATGGAGATATGCTCACATATATCCACTGCTGCTCTAAAGAAGTCACAATTAAAGCTGATCTCGGGGTCCTCCTCGAACACTATTTATTTGCTCAAGATCTGAAAGTGGAGATCAGAGATCCAAGATTCTCTAAAAGCTCGGGGGTTTCTAAATAAA